CATCCCCCATGGAGGGATATTGCCTTAACCTAGAGACAGGAGAGAAGTCCTAGTCCCTACTTCAAATGACTTGACAGATCTACATGACCCTTCCTGGATGGCATTCCCCTACATGTGGAATTGGGGTGGGGGGATGGGAGAGGAGTGTGGTCAGTGTGCTTGTGACGGGGCAGAGAGAGTAGGAGGGAGGAAGGGAGGAATGGAGGGATGGAGGAATGGAGGAAGGGAGGGAGGGAGGAGGGAGAGTGAACTGGGATCGACATGTAAAATAAAAAATAAATAAATAAAAGGAAAAAAGAAAGAAAGAAAAGGGCATTCCCCATTAGAACCCAAGACTCCCATTTATAAGTGTTTTCCCCCTGACAACTACTGTGTTTGAGGTTAAGAAAAGGATGGAATTGGAGGTTATCCAGAACAAATTGCTCTGGGCCAAGAAAAGGACCTTACAATACCTTTTGTCTCTGTGTGGTACAGTGAGGACTTATACCTTGTCAGTCTGAACTGCACATATTTTCAATGGTACTTACAATTTTAGACAGGAGGTAAAGTCCTAATTGTTCACAGCCTATACTTTAGCTTTAGAAAAAAGTTTTCATTTGGCAAAAATAGCTAAATATTTCCCAGTAAGAATGCTAGGATTTGTTGTTGTTGTTATCATTGCATGACACATCTTTATTCTTTGTTACAGCCTGGCTGTCCTGGAATTAGCTCTGTAGACCAAGCTGGCCTCGAACTCACAGAGATCCACTTGCCTCTATTTTCCAAGTACTGGGATTAAAGTTGAATGCCTCTATGCCTGGTTGAATGGTAAATTTTTTTACATTCTAATGCTCTTTGCTAGCAAGGCAGAAAATTTATTACAGGTATTAATCATAACTTGATGTCTTATTTAAGCCTTCTACTGCTGTGAAGAGACTCCATGACCACAGCAACTCTTATAAAGTAAAAACACTTAATTGAATTGGTGGCTGAGAGTGCAGATGTTCAGTCCATTATCATCATGGAGGGAAACTGGTGATATGCAAGCAGACATGGTGCTGAAGACATCTTGATCACAAGGCAACAGGAGGTGGACTGAGGCAGTGGTCATGGCTTGCTCCTATAGGAGACATCAAAGCCACATAGTGACATACTTCCTCCAGTAAGGAAACATCTATCCCAGCAAAGCCACACCTCTTAATATTGCCACTCCAAATGAGCTGATGGGGACCCACTCCCTTTAGACTATCACACTTGGAATAGCAAGGTAGAATCATTAATCTTCTCACAGGCTTTAGACCCTAGGGTGAACTGGGTATTAACAAAGGGCATAGTGCTCCAGAGGATATTGAGTTGACTCAGCTTTTCATTCCTCCATGGGTGTATTGCCAGCATGGAATGCTCCACTGGGTAAGTAAGCATCTAAGTACTGATAAATGACTCATCTCCAGTGCACACAGGATTGTATTTGCCACAAAGCCTCACTGAGTGGGCCAAGAATCATAAAAGCCAATGAAAAAGAAACACCTTTGAGTAATTGTTATCTCCAGAAATACTGAGGTCTGATAAGGCACAGGATTCTTGTGCATAGCATGCATTCTCATATACTCACAACTTGTAACAGGTAAGTTTATGTTTGTGCTCCAGTTTTCAAGAACTTAGAAAAGACTATCTGGAGGTGCCAGAGTGTGTCTGCTATAATATAACACGAGCCATGCTATACTTCTGCATTATATGTACAACAATCTCCTCCTCTCAGTCAAGAGAAATCAAAATTCCATTGCAGAGGTTGTAACCTGTGGGTCTTTATAAGTTCTCTGATGCCCCAGTAACTTTTTTTTTAACATTTATTTACTAATCATGTATATAGTGTTCTGCCTGCATGCATGCCTGCATGGAAGAAGTGGGCACCAGACCATATTACAAATGATTTTGAGCCACCATGTGGGCGCTGGGAATTGAACTTCTGGAAGACAAGCCAGTGCTCTTAACCTCTCAGCCAACTCTCTAGTGCACCACCACCACTACCAAGCCAAGACCTTTCACCATCCCTGTGACTTCCCACAGTTCTCTACCTCTCTCCATCAGCTCCAACCATGCTGCCCTGCTGGATGCTTCTCCTCACACATGACAGGTCTTCTCTGGCAACTAAGCTTCAGCAACTGTCATCCCTCTACGTGGAATGCATATTCTCCTTGACTGATGCTAAAGGGACAGTCTCATTACCTTCACCATTTCATTCCCAACCTGAAGGCTCCACGAGGCCCTTCCTGGGCACTGTGTTTCTCTGAAAAGAACATTCTCCCCGTAATTTCATTTCCTCAATACTGGCCTTAGTGTGCCTTCTCTTATCACTTATCATTATGGAAATGCTTCATACTGACTTATGAACTACCTGGCCACTGCACATCACTGCACTACAAAAAAAGCTCCATGAAGATAAGATCAGTTCATCTGCTGGATCTGATCACTGCTATGTCCATAACAGTGATGGGTAGAGCCATCCAAAGTGCTAAGATAAAAAAAAATGAACAGAAAATCGGTGGGATCAAGCATGTGAAATCAGACTATTATCTCTGGGTCTAGTCCTAAAGCTACAAATGCAGCTCCCACCAGGGCATGGACTTGCATTTTTTTCAGTGAGGCAGTGTGAGGTTGTCCTTCTGCAATATCTCCCTCAGAGGAGAGGACCCAAGAAAGGTGAGCTTGAGCATGCTGTCTGCCAGGTCCTCAGCCCTTGCCCATCTCAAGGACAATCAGATGCTACAGGGAGCCTGGTCAAGAGCAGGAACTCGGGTTATTTCATCAAGCACAGACTTATATGGGGTTGAGGTAAGGGGTAGGACATTTAGGATAGAGTAAAGTGACATGAAGAGAAAGGGCCAGTAATATTCCACCAAATTAGCGAATAGCCAGGCAGCCTACAGTCTTACATCAGGCTTTGATGACTCATTCCCTCTTGAAGGTTATAGGCCAAAGAAAGGCTCCAAAACTTTAGCCAAGGTCAGGAAGTTGCACTAGGGTCTTTGCCCATGCATCTTTGGCCCAACAAGACAGGGCCCAACTGGAGCCATGGCCTAGAGAAACCTTTCCAAGGTTAAAATGATACGAACACTTGCTCACACCACGATGCTGGTATCCTTGTTGGGACATGGGTCCTATGCCAAGGTGTTTTATGTTATAGGAACTGACCAAAAGTCTAACTGCATGCGGTACACAACAGAAAGAGAAACATCAAAGAAAACATGGGAGTTAGCAGAAATGGTCCCTGGAGGACCTGCTGGTTTTAGTCGAGCAAAACCATATGATGTAGGAAGGAAAAGTAAAGCTGATGGTGAGGGGTGCTTGTCCTGTGCCATTCTTGAGGTCATCAGCCTACAGAGTCACTGCTTGCTATGTGGGGTACATCAAAGAGTTTTGACACCTTCTTTCAATGTCTAGGAGATCCTTGAGTCCTCCATGAGTGGCCTTGGGAAGATTCAGCAGCAGGAAGCAGAAACACTCTTTTCTTCTGAGGCAACAGCTGAAGGAGGAGGCCAAACACACACAGTGCTGCTCTCAGAGGGACTTCTGAAGGATGGGTACTGGGAATGACAAGAGAGAGCAGAATAGGAGGACATGCACCCATGTCCAGGACTCCACAGTTGTGAGGCCCTTTATTGCCATTGCTATTCCTCTTCCCACAAATGACAGCCCTTCCACATGGCAGTGTACAGCCTAAGGAACTACTTAGGCAAAGCCACAATTCCCAGCCCACACAAGACATCTCCATCAGGGTAGGCTTTGAGTTTAAGAAGGCAGGGGGAGCTAGTTTGGTTAGTAGGGACCAGAAGGTATCATTTGCTACAGGCTTTGCAGGGAATCTAACTGGAATGATAGGCCTAAAGAAGGGCAGTTTCCCTTTGCCTGGACACTGAATGGAGCCACCTGTGGCTTCAGGCAGCTGTGACAGAGCATGGACTGCTAAGTTCTCTCTATAGCATGGAGACATGAGGCACAATCATCAGATGCCCCCGCCCCCTAGGAGCGCAAGGACTTCCAGCAAGAGGAAGGACGGTGTGACATAGCTGCCATTCCAGGATTCACCAAGGATCCATTTTCCCAAAGGAAGTGTTTACCCTGTGCCCAGAGTTAGCCTGGAACTCTTAATAATTTGCTTAGGGCTCAGATTGTGTCAGACTCTCTGAAACCAGGCCAGTCTGGTAGGCAATTGGGTTTCACTGTCCCAGTAGTCCCATAGAAAGGCCCTTCAGTGACCCTCCAACCCTTTTCCTTTGTTTGCCAGGTAACCACTGCCACCATGGACAGCCAGCCAGAAGAATGTGGATGACCCAGAAAGCCAATCTTCCTGGAATTGTTCCTTCTACATCTACATCCTTCAAGTGCCTCTATCTCCTATACATATCTTGGCCTCCCAAGTCCCAGAGCCTCTGTCATTAGGGTCCTCCCTGGGGAGCAGACCTTGAGTACTGTTATTGAGTACCTCTTTCATGCTGGTACACATGTATTCTTCTACTGAGTCCTTCTGGTTTTGTGATTGCCTGAATGGGCCAGTAAGCTTCACTCTTTTGCCTCCCTTCTTTCCTCCCTCCCTCCCTCCCTCCCTCTGTCCCTCCCATCCCAATCCATGTTTCTTCCTTCACTCTGTCCCTCCCCTCATTCTGGCCTCTCTTTCATTCTGGCTACACTCCACCTGTCCCTAGGCAGTCACCTCCTCCTGCCCCCTCCTCCACAGCCCATCTCCAGTTCCTTCTCGTCCTCCCCCCAAGACCTGACCAGCTAATTCCCATTCCATTTTTAGATGACTGACTTTGATACGAGCTCATTTCTCTCATGGGCTGAATTGACAGCTGTTCCATCCTTCCCTGCTCCACCCATCATAACACACCCAGTCTTTTCCACAAGGCAAACTGCTCAGACAGCATGCCTTACCCACAGAAATGTGTCTTTCTCAGCACAACAACCGTTAAGCTCACTGTGAGCTTCCAACACACTCATATGCCTCTGCATATCTAGAAATTACAACTTTATTTCAACAGTTGTGGCATGACTTTACCAATCAATCATATCTTTTTCACCAGGTCATAGACATAGATATGGAAGTCATCCTCAAATTTGATAAAATATACAGAGGGCTTGGCTTCAACTTGGTGAATCACCATGCCAACTCTTTTGGAGCCATCATCTTTGGCGTATTCCACATGTTTTCCTATGAGACCATCCATAAGTTCCAGATCCAAGTCTGGTGGAGGAGCCTCATCCAAGTGTGGAATGATACGGAGGTCACCCTCTTTAAAATCATCCAGAAGCTGGTACATATATAGGATTGGATCTTTTTCATAGGTGATATAGAACCAGGCCTTTAAGACTGGTGCTTGAGCCAGGACCATCCCCCTCCATTCATCCTTACAGCCATGTTCTCCCTCAAAGAGGTGTTCTACTGCTTTGCCTATGATGGTATCTGCAAGGATAGGGTCAGGGCCATGGGATGTGTCTACCTGGTCAGACAGAACTTTAAGGAACAATATCCTCTCATCTCTATGAAGTTCCAATCCATACACACAGTCGATACCATCATATTTCACCAAATAGAGAGAGGGTTTTATAGCAATCTGATCCAGAACAATTCCCTTCCAATGGGTGATGCGCCCATTATCTTCCTTCCAGTGGTGAGAAATTCTGCAGCCCACGATGTTATTTTGGGCGAGGGATGAAGATCTGCTGTTTGGCATCTCCTGTGCAGCGTTTTTCTCGATCGGACCAGCATCCTTGGCAGCTTCATGGCCATTGGCTCCTTTAGGGAGCCTGTTGGGCCGCCCTTTGGCCTCCTGGGTCCTGGAATACTGGGCGCTGGTGCTGGGTCCTGGGTCCATGGCTGAGGAGGGGGAAAAAGGAAGAGCTTGTTAGCTAAGGGACAAATGACCAACTTCTCCTGGTTGGAAGCTTCAGCACCAGGCGCTGGTCCCTAACCACCCCCAAGAAGCCTGAGGACAAACCTGGCTGGGCACCTGCTGCTGTGCTGTGTGCTTCTAGTTTTCCTGAGCCCCTTCAGGATGGTGGATAACCAGCAGGTTTAGGAACTCCCAGTCACCAGAAGCTTTAGGCTCACAGTAGCCTGAGCCCAGGTCCCTACCTGCACCCTGCCCCACCCTTCTTCCCCACCCCCACCCCACTCCCCAGGCCATGGGCGTTAACCTGTTTGGAGAACAGAGAGAAGTGCTGTAAAGTTCCTCTCTTCCTCCACCATGCCTGCCGCTGGTGCTCAAGGTCCAGGCTGCAGACCCAGGCCGCTTCCTGGTACTCACCCCCAGGATCCTCGGAGCTCTTTTCGGAATCTGTGCCTGGCTCCTAATGCTGCCCAGGTCTTTCTCCCCTTGCGTGCCAAGTTCCCACAGCTACTCTGTTTCTCCCGCTGGCCCGTCCCCTCCCACACCGCTCCTGCCTGGCGCCCACCTAGGAGCTAGTTTGGCCGGGCGTCCTGTTGCGCGGTTCCAGGGCTCTGTACTCGGGAGATCCGACACTTTGCTGCTGCCTCCGTTAAAAGTGAGCGGCGAAGGCGCCCAGACTAGGCTGTGCTCACTACAGCCTAGAGAGAGGAACCACCAGCCCGCCTGAGTGCTAGTCTGCCGCCCGGGATCTCTGGAAATGTGGCGGGACAGAAGATGGGAGCTGAGTGCAGCTGGTGTCCTGCTCCTGGTTGGCTAGTGGGTTCTTCTGCCTTCCTCTCGCGGAGGCAGCTGCACTGCAATCACGGATTCCATCAGCTGGTGCTGCAGTCGTAGTCCCCTCCCCTTTCCCGGAGATAAGCTTCCTGCCAGGAGAGAAGAGTTCCCTTCCTCTCGCATATCTCAATCCACTCTGTTAAACTTCTGTTTTAAGAAATGTTTGAGTGATCAATTAGTTCTGTCTCCACGCTTTTGCAAAACCATTGTCAACCTCGCCCAGAACCCTGCTCTCTTCTTGGTTCCTTCTTCAATTTAAATATTTTCAGTGACACTTTCCATCTGCCCTTCGTCTTTCAGGAATTAGCTTTTTCTCTCCACTAATGCCCTCATGAAATTACTCTTTATACTAATATACCTTCCTTTTCATTGGAGAAATTTGAACGGAGATGTGTGCTAGCAAATAGGCTGACGTTTTGATTTAATTTCTACCTAATTTTTACTCACTGATCTTTCCCCTTCTTTCATTTGAGTGGGTTTTCCTCTTTCTGTTTTCTCCCTTTCTCGCTTTACTCTATGGAAATATAATCATAATTACAGCTGGAAAATTATGTCAATTTCTTGAAACTGACATAAAGAACATAATTTCAATCCTATATTTTATTTCCTAGGCCTCTACAGCAAAATATTAAAATTATTTTATTTTCCTTTTTCCTATTAGTGCTTTCTAAGTACATTGCATATTTTAAAGTTAAGTTCTATTTACTGTATGATTATCTGTTTATTCAATTGTATCATTGTCTTCTATGTGTCAATTTTGATTTTGCAGTGATCTGTTGCTCTTTTTCAATGTCTGAGTTTCAGAATAATATAGTTCAACAATAACTGGTAATAAAATTTATTCATCAGAATATAAAACTTCGTGGGATATCTTAAGTTCTGAGGAAAAAAAATAGCCAATTTATAATTCGTAAATTATGTCTAGGTCCCTTTAACAAATACAGAAGTAATAATTAAATAGCTTTATAAAATTGTGTATCATCAAATCTGTTTTTTGAGTTGATATTTGATTCATTAAAACTATAAAGTATTGCAAAATCAAGCAAATAAACAGATCCAGTGACCTATCAATAATATGAATATTTAATATGTATGTATTGTATCTGAAGTACATGATATTTACTAATAGCACAACTGGGTTTAAGGCAATCAAATAACTACCAAATGGTAAAAGAGGGACAGCAATTTTGATTCAGCATTTAATATATAAGAGGATATTAACCTACTGTTAATGTTTTATAGATGTTTATGGCCAATGGCACCATAAAAGGGTGTCCGTTTTGTCTTTATAGACAGTAATCACCAGATATGCCTCATTTTCTGTAGAATTACAGCTAAAGCTCACATCTCAGATTACCCTTGGAATCCTAACTCTGCTGGTTTGGATGAAAATCACTCCTATAAGCCCATAGAGAGTAGTACTATTAGAAGGCATGGCCCTGTTAGGTAGGTGGCTTTGTTGGAGGAAGTAAGTCACTGGGGGCAGGCTTTGAGGTTGAAATGCTCAAGCCATTCCTAATGTTTCTGTCTCTTCATTCTGTCTGCATATCCAGGCATAGAATTCTCTGCTATCTCGCCAGCAACATGTCTGCCTGTATGCCACCATGCTTCCAGTCAGGATGATAGGACAGACCATGTTTTTGTTTGGAGAAATATGTACTTTGTGGGACTATGGATTAGAAAAGCAGTTGAACACATTAAAAGGGTGAAGATGTAATTGAACAAGGGGACCATGCTCCAGCCCCAGAAAGCAGAAGAACTTGGCAGCTTCAGTCATGTGGTTCTGGCTTTACAGTCAAGGATACAAGAAAGGCATTATGGAATCTTCCCTCGTGACTAAGGAAAGCCACTGAGGCCAGGCATGTGTCAGGGGTGTCCCTGAATGGAGCCCAGAAGAGGCAATTGTTTGAAGTTGTGAAGTTGAAGCCTGGATTGCCTTGGAGACCCCAAAGTGTTGAAGATGCCAAAATCTTGGGATACATGCTGAAGAGAGTAGAAACAGCCCTAGAGAGGGAAGTGTATTGCGATCAACAAAGCTGAAAGGAGTTGAAGATCTGAAGGGTGTCTTGACATTAGACATTGAGATACAGAGTTTGTGAGTTTCACCCAGCTGGTTTTCAGTCTTGCTTGGGTTTGTATTTCCTCACTATGTTAGCTTCCCTAATTTTTGGAACAGTAATATATATTCTGTGCCATTGTATGTTGGAAGTATGTGGTCTGCTTTTTGATTTTGATTTTATAGGTCATTACAGTTAAGATATTGCATGAATCTCAGAAGAGAGTTTGGACAGGAGACTTTTAAACAAGTTTAAGACTTTTATAGGCTATGGGAACTTTTAAAGCAGGACTTACTACATGTATGCAGTATGATATGACTATAAGCCTGTGGAGGCCAGAGAGAGCAAAGCAGTGGTTTGAAAGAAAATGACCCCCACAGGCTAATAGGGAGTAATATTATTAAGAGGTATGGCCTTGTCGGAGTGGGTGTTGCATTGTTGGACAAAGTGTATCAGTGGGGTCAGGCTTTGAGGTCTTAAATGATCAAGTCAGGTCTAGTGTCTTCAGTAGAATTCTCAGCTCCTTTTCCAGCACCATGTATACCTGCAGGCCAACGTATTTCCCACCATAATGATAGTGGACTAAACCTCTGAACTCTGTAAGTTGCCACCTCAATTAAGTGTTTTCCTTTACAAGAGTTGACATGGTCTTGGCGTCCCTTTACATCAATGGAAACCCTAAGTAAGACAGAAGTTGGTACTCAGGTATTGCTGTGACAGGATACACCATGCCATGTTCATGTTGCCTCTTCAAAGCAATAGAAACCCTAAGTAACCCTGTGTCCTTCTTAGCAGTTGGACCCTATCTTTTGGTCTATTTTGTCTTTGTGTGTCTAGTTTATGTCCCTTAGCATAATATCTATAATCCATCAATCTGAAATTATCCTGAAGAGGTGAGACCAAGTAAGACATTGTGTCATTGGATATACACACTGAAAGGAAATAATATGAATTCAGTACCTTTTCTTCATTTCATGCCTAGGTATGGGACAAATTAACTTCCATCACTATAAACACACACAATGATACATTGGGCCATCAGGAGCACAAAGCAGTGGAGTCAATTTATAGTGTGTTGAGACCTACAAAACTATATATTCTTTTGAATTTGATTTATGTTATAGCAATGAAAATATGACTAATACATTTTTTATTTAGGTTTTGATGGATATTTGTGCTGTTCTATACTTAGCTATTATGAATAATGATGCTGAATATATTTGTGTATATTTTGTACATGTTTTATTTAGATATGTTTTATTTCTCTTAGATTTATAGTAAGGGAAGGATTGTTTGGTCATATGGTAGTTCTATGCTTAATTATTTGAGGAATCACTAGTGATTTCCAAAATGGTTGTGATATTTAATATTCACAAATAGTTCTATTTTTTCCAAGTCCTCAGCAATTGTTGTATGATTTTTCATCATTGCTATTCTAGTCTGCGTGATATATTATCTCATTGTGTTTTGACTTGCATTTCCTTGTGATGCCAAATACTTTTTCAGGCACTTTATTGGTTATATTTTAGATAAATATATATTCAGATAATTTTCCTATTTTTATTGGATTGCCTTTTATTATTCAGTTGTAAAATTTCTAAGTATAAGTCTTTAATCAGATACATGACAAAGAAATATTTTATCTTATTGTGTGCTTTGTTCTTTCAGTTTCTTTATGGTGTATTTTGAAATATAAAGGCTTCATTCTGACAAAATACAATAAATACAGCATCTCATTTGTTATTTATTTTATTGCTGTCATAACTGAATATACAATGCCAATCCAGGAGGATAGAGTACCTCCCTAAAAAGAACAAGCTTCTGGACTGCAAGCAGTGTTCAGAAAATGTCTGCACAGCATTGAGAAGTTAATACTTTATCTGAGAGATTTCAGGGAAAAAAAGGAAATGAGCATATCCTTTTCTTGAATAGAACACTCTTTATTCTCCTACATTGAATTCTGCCAGTTTCTTCCAGCTCTCTTTGTTTTTCACAGCTTATAAAGACCCACAAAATCTTTTAGGCATTACATCTGAAGGTCACATACCATTTCTTAAGTAAATGATAAGAAACAGAGTCCTCTAGGCAGTTCTT